CAGAGCCTGACGCGGGGCTCGAACTCACGGACCGCGAGATCGTGACCTGGCTGAAGTCGGACGCTTAACCGACTGCGCCACCCAGGCGCCCCAAGGCCCTTTTCTTTTTTAGTAGGTTACTATGAACCTTTGAGCTTATCTTTTTTTACATGAAAAATATGTTAAAATCTTTCAAATAGGCAGTGATAAAAATAATCAGCAAACAAATGTTAACTTCTAGCAGACTAGCTAGAATATTGGCATTCCCATCACTTACAACTGGTCAGTATAGACCCCCTGTCTGCAGGGGATACATTCCAAGACCCCCAGCACATGCCTAAAATCATGGACAGTATCAAACCCTATATATACTGTTTTTTCCTACACATACATACCTAGGATAGTTTAATTTATAAATTAGGCAAAGTAATAGATTATCAATAGTTAATAGAATTCCAGTAATGTGCTATAACAAGTGAATGTGACCTCTCAACATATCGTTCGAATTTTAGTGTTTGTGAAGTGAGCACTCTCAGTATATTGTTCTGTGCTCATCCTTTTTTAATGTTTATTTTTGAGAGAGAGAGAGAGAGAAAGAGAGCAAGTGCAAGTTGGGAAGGTCAGAGGGAGAGGGAGAATCCCACTGACAGTGCAGAGCCTGATGTGGGGCTCGAACTCACGAACCATGAGATCATGACCTGAGCCAAAGTCAAGAGTCGGATGCTTAACTGAGCGAGCCACCCAGGTGCCCCTCACCCTTCTTGTGAGGTAAGGTGATAAAATGCCTACGTGACAAAATGAAGTGAGGTGAATGACAGGCATTTTGATCATTTGGCTACTAGTGACGTTCTGATGGTAAGTCAGAAGGACCATCCACGTCCCAAATGTGGTTGACAGCAGATAACGAACTATGGAAAGTGAAACCACAGATAAGGGGGGACTACTGTAAAAACATCATCAAATACAATTCGTGTTTACAAACAACAGTCATATAAAGCTATACTTTGTAAAAGACACTTGAAATTACACAAAGTGAGGAGTGGCGAAGGTGCTCCCCACCAGACCTGGGAGGGAACCTACATCTTTATTTTAACAAGACTTTTTGGATTTTTTTTTGAGAGCACAAGCCAGGGAGGGGCAGAGCGAGGGGGACAGAGGATCTGAAGTGGGCTCTGCGCTGACAACAGCGAGCCAGATGTGGGGCCTGAACTCATGAACCATGAGAGATCAACACCTGAGCTGAAGTTGGAAGCTCAACCAACTGAGCCACCACCCAGGCGCCCAGGAGACTTTTTTTTTTTTTTTTTACATAGGCACTCTGTGTTTCTATAGAACATTTTGAAAAAGTGATAGAAAAGCACAAAGGAAAAGGAAATTCACCCATATTTCCGTGACTAGAAACAATCACTATTAAGTTTTGGTATTTTCTTTCTGGTCTTTTTATATACCTATCCTATGTATGCATATATTCCTTTGATCATGTTGTACATACTAATTTGTTAAAGAGGATAAAAGGGTTTGCTTAATTTTATTTATCAACTATTTAAAAAATTTTTAAATGTTTATTTTGAAAGAGAGAGAATCCCAAGCAGGCTCCATGCTCAGCGCGGAGCCTGATCCCCCAACTGCAGACGACTGAGGCACCCAGGCGCCCGCACCACTGTGCTTTTATAAAAGACCTACATAATTAGTACCTGTTTCTCTATCCAAAAGAAATCCAAAGAGGATTTTCGCTTTTACAAAAAAAAAAGGCAAAAAATGAAAACAGGGTTGGGTGCTTTTTTTGCAGCCAGCATTAGTGGGGGCATCATGCACCCCGGGAGCTCCTCTCGGCATCTCAGCATCAAGCAGCCATAGCTTTGAATTGTGCCTGTGAGCATCTGCGCTTTATCTTGATTTATTTTGTGCATCTGTGAGCAAGATATGTTCCACGCTATCAGAAAAGCCTGAGAGAGGTTTTTTCTTGGGTCTGGGACCACTCAAAACTTTTTCCATATAAATTAATGCTAAGTGCTGCTTCGTGTCATGCCATTTTGGCTTACGAAAAGATTTACAGGAATGCCCTACTTTCAGATAGCAGGGGAGACCTGTGTTTGTATTTTGGTTTGAACCATGTTAAGCTCTTTCTCTTATCACATGTGCCCTCTTGTGGTGACTCCATGACATTTCTTTCAAGCCATTAGTTCTTTGCTCTCACTGGAGATTTAACAAACAGGGTTTATTTATGTTAATCTCCCATTACTTATATTTGGTTAGGAATCACTGCTGTACCCAAAAGATTATTATAGGATGGTCAGATCTCTTATTAAAAATAAGATTTCTAGGGGCGCCTGGGTGGCTCAAGCGGAGCAGCACTCTTGATCTTGGCTCAGGTCATGCCCTGCATTAGGTTCCATGCTGAGAGTGTGGAGCCTGCTTAAGATTCTCTCTGTCTCCCCACCCCTCTCCCCCACTCATGTGCTCTCTCTAAAAAATAAATGAGAAAAAAATTAAGTGAAAGATTTCTAAAAATAAGTTTTCATTTTGGTGGTTATTTGCTAAGAAAATACCTAAAACGGGTACATTTTCTCACAAGTGGATTATTGTCCATTAGCAGCTCATTTGTAAGTTGGAACTTTGCATTCACTTTTTATGGAAAAATGATGTTATAATTGGGGTCAGGTTCCCAGACAGACCAAAAAAGCAAATTTTCTATCCCAGAAATGCTGTACTAGGCAATGGAATGGAAAAACAAAACAAAAATAGAACATACTATTGTGGTGTGAGTCACCTTCTAAAAAAGTCATAAAATATATTAAAACACAGACCATGTCTGAGACAGATCCATACAGCCCCAAGGCCAGACTCGCCTGGCTCGAAACTCAGCGTTTCTCCTGAGGTTTTGGGTAAAGCAGCTGCAGACTGGGGAGAGGAGAGATCTGTCCTATATTTGTGATGCTACTGGGAACAGGGAAGGGTTTCCATGGCGCCTCAGAGGCTGGAAGTTACCTTGCTCCCCTGGGGAAAGAGATGTCGATGGGTGCTTGTGTTTTGGAAACTGCGTATGAATGGAGCATACTGCAAAAATACTGCTAACAAGATTATTACATTTAATGTTCAGTGCCTTTGGGTAAATCTTAGACCAGATCCAAATAAGTCTGGCTACTGGCAAAGTGGAAAGTCTGGAACAAATTTTAAAAGGACTGTAGTGAGGCTCTCCTCATCACATTTGATAACCTCAGACATAAGGGTTATGATGATGTTGAATATTTGAGGTATGGCTTCAGTGATGTTGAATATTTGGGGTATGGCTTCACGTTTAGTCCTTCTAAAATGCTCATGTTTTTCTTTCAACCGTGCCAGAGAACACTGACCAATATAGTAAAACGCTGATGAATGACCAACCCAACTAATCGGAACCTTTGATTAGTCTACCTTCTGTTTTTATGCTGTTTCTCAAAGAATGGCACTTGAGAAAAATGCCCACTAATATGAAGGGTTTACCCAAGTTACTTTCATGGGGTGTTTCCTGAGATCCTACTTAATTCAGGTTAGTCTCTGTTACCTCCTACCATCTACACAACTGGTCAAAATCAAGCACCGAGACATCTATTACTAATTTAAAAGTGGTTTTCAAAAGATTTTTCAGCAAATAATGTCTAAATCAAAAAAATGTTTCTAACCCCAGGCTAAGCAAAAATTCAATTAACCAGCATTAACTCAGAGACTCATTTTACTCAATTATGTATAATTATACCTGGTGGTGGGGGGAGCCACCCATGTCACCTTAGTAAAAGGCAAACTGGTTTTCAGAAAATCAAACAAATGTCAATCTATGGATAAGTGAAATAACAGATTTTCACAAATTAATTTTAAAATTGAATATTTGGGGATAAACATAATTAACTTTCTTGGGTCCATGAAAAGCCTTTTAATAAACTTTCGATTCCAGGGACGCCTGGGTGGCTCAGTCAGTTAAGTGTCTGACTTCGTCTCAGGTCATGGTCTCACAGCTCATGGGTTCAAGCCCCGCATGGGGCTCTGTGCTGACAGCTCAGAGCCTGGAGCCTGCTTGGGATTCTGTGTCTCCCTTTCTCTCTGCCTCTCCCCCGCTTGCACTCTCTCTCTCAAAATTAAACAAACATTAAAAAAAATAAAAATAAATAAAAAACTTTCAATCCCAGTCTTAATAAACTTGATGCAATAGTTCCTTGCACTTCAAGTCATAACCGTTTCATTCGTACCTTGGTACTTCCATTTCCTGTAAGCAACACATGGAACAGGTCTGTAATGTAATTGTGAAGCATGTGCTGGTGGTCGTTTGTAACTGTCATGTTTGTTAACAATCTCAGTCCAGCCAGCTGCACAGCAGAGTCCAGGGGACCAGAGAGGACATCCTTACAAACTTGATTGATGTATACCTAGGGGGAAAGAAGTGAGCATCTTAATTCTCCAAAAGTCTGTCTGTTAAATAGTAACTTTTCTGCCCAGTGGAGCAGGGCAGTTGCTCAGGATGAGACTGGCTCCTCAGAAAAGACATTTCTATCCAGCCCTTGAACTTGGGCAACTTTTTTGATTTTTAAAGCTACCTTTGGGTAGCTTTTTTGTTAATGCCAGGCAATGTACGAGCATTTTACAAATATACCTGACTTAATCCAGAAGAGGATGGCCATTTTACAGATAAGGACAAGTCCTCAAGAAACTTGGATCCCCAGCCCAATATCAAGCCAGCTGGTAGGGGAGCAATGTCCAATTCCAGAGACCATGCTCTCAACACCAGTGGTCTCTCAATTATTGGGGGCCTCCCAACTCAGTCTACCTTTCTGTGTTAACTGGTCTAGGCACACTAGGACCAAGGAGGAAGACATGTCTGGCCATCTGGCATCAAGGTAAGTATCTTAACAATAGGACCCTATCCTTACGAAGTAAAGAATAGAGGAAACAGTGAAAGAATTTTTCTCTAGGGTTAGTTCTATCAAAAGGAGAGGGAAAACTCTCTTTGGCCCAGTTTTCTTATTTACCTAGTTTATGCATACGAATTACTCCTTCCTGATACTGTTAACTGCCACTGGCAAAACAAAATGTAAACAGTACAGGAGTACTATTTCACACATGACAGAATTGAACCCACCGGTGATGGAAAAGTTTTCTGAAACTGTTTTCTATTTCTGGCCAGGATCTTTCCAGCTTGGAAAAACTAGGTCTCACAGATAATTACTATTCACCTAACTAAAAACTCCACCAGAAGTTCTAACTGCTAAAGAAAAAAAAATTCCTAATATGAAATGCTAAGAAATTACCAGTTGTCCCATAAGCCAATTCTACGTTTTTTAAAAAACCGAAGGTATCCATGGTACCATAGAAACTAGAGTAATGGCAGTAAAGTAAAGAGAGACTAGATTTTTAGTCTTGTTTCAGATCTGATATAAGTCACCTGGCTCTCTTTGGCCAGAATTTCATCACATACCTACCCATCCTTAGAAAAAAAAAAGGGGGGGGGGGGGGGACATTTCTTTAGCTCTTTATAAATCATATATCTTCATAAGAGGCTGATGTCTTTCAAAGCATTTCCTAAAATGCATTGAGCATTTTTCTTTTTTTTAATGTTTATTTATTTTTGAGAGAGCGCATAAGCAGGGAAGGGGCAGAGAGAGAGACAAGGAATCTGAAGTAGGCTCCAGGCTCTGAACTATCAGCATAGAGCCTGACCTGGGGCTCAAACTTGTGAACCACAAGATCATGACCTCACCCGAAGTTAGATGCTTAACCAACTGAGCCACCCAGGTGCCCCAATATTATTTTCTCCGAGTCTTTTCACCGGTTCAATTTTAGAAACAAGATCACCAGATGGGCCACCTTGGTTATTCCTGGAGCTGCGCCCACCTCCCCTTGCTCCTTTTTCTTGGAATTCCCTCCCTCCCCAACTTTGCTTCTAGAAACCAGACATTCTTCAGAGCCAGGTTGTACTCTACCTTTTACAAAACTTTTGGATGAGATCTCGTCCTTCTATGTACTCAACAATGTTTTACTTACATTTTTCCTTTAAGTACTTCATGTTCTGCCCTGCATCATGCCTGTTTATGGAGTTGCCTTCTCTCTCCTAGCTTTCTTTTTATTTATTTATTTTATTTATTTTAATTTTTTTTTTCAACGTTTATTTATTTTTGGGACAGAGAGAGACAGAGCATGAACGGGGGAGGGGCAGAGAGAGAGGGAGACACAGAATCGGAAACAGGCTCCAGGCTCTGAGCCATCAGCCCAGAGCCTGACGCGGGGCTCGAACTCACGGACCGCGAGATCGTAACCTGGCTGGAGTCGGACGCTTAACCGACTGCGCCACCCAGGCGCCCCTCTCCTAGCTTTCTTAAAACAAGAGTTAATTGTGTTCATTTCTAAACTCTGTACCACAAAGTAGGAGCTCAATGAATGCTGAAAAAACAGAAGTTCCTAATTTATTTTATCTTTCTGCTGATATTACCAGACTCTGACCAGTTTCCTTTACACACTTGGATTAAAACGAACCCCAGGAGCACCTGGGTGGCCCAGCTGGTTGAGCGTCTGACTTCAGCTCAGGTCATGATCTCACGGCTCATGAGTTCAAGCCCCACGTTGGGCTCTGGTGCTGACAGCTTGGAGCCTGGAGCCTGCTTCGGATTCTGTGTCTCCCTCTCTCTCTGCCCCTAATGCACTAGCATTCTGTCTCTCAAAAATAAACAAACATTAAAAAAAAAACGAACCCCAAACTCAAAAGCATAAGGCACCTCTTACTGCCTGGTTCAGATTCCTCCTTCCTCTGCCTTATTCTCCGTAAAAAATGGGCAGAGGACCTGAATACATATTTTTCCAAAAGATACACATATGGTCAATAGATAAATGAAAAGATGCTCAATATCACTAATCTTCTGGGAAATCACTAATCTTCTGGGAAATACAAATCAAAACCACAGTGAGGTCATATCTCATACCCAGAATGGCTACTGTCAAAAAAAACAAACAAACAAAAAAAAAAAAACAAAGTTTTGGCAAGATGTGGAGAAAAGGGAATCCTGTGCACTGCTGGTGGGAATGTAAATGGTACAGCCACTATGGAACGCGGTATGGAGAGTCCTCCAAATATTAAATATACAACCACCATACGATCTAGCAATTCCAGTTCTGGGCATTTATCTGAAAACGGCAAAAAGAATAATTTGAAAAGACATATGTACCCACTATGTTCACTGCAGCATTATTCTTAACAGCCAAAACACAGAAATAACCTGTGGTGACAGGTGCATGAATAAAGCACATGTGGTCTATATACAATCGAATATTATTCAGCCATAAAAAGGAAGGAAATCCTGCCATTAGCAACCAATGGATAGACCTTGAGAACATTATGCTAAGTGACATGACAGAAAAAGACAAATACTGAAGGGATCTTTTATATGTGGAATCTAAAAAAGCTGAACTCACAGAATTAGAGTAGCGTGGTGGTTGCCAGGGGCTAAGGGATGAAGGAAATGGGGAGATTTTGGTCAAAAGGCACAAGCTTCTAGGTATAAGATGAGTAAGTTCTGGGAGCTAATGGATAACAGGGTGACTATACTGTATTATATACTTGAAAGGTGCTGAGAGACTAGATCTTAAATGTTCTCACCACACACACACACACACAAAAGGTAATTATGTGAGGTGATGGAGGTCCTAGGTAACACCATAGAAGACTCACACATTTGTGATTTCAGCTAACTTACCTTTATCTTCACTTGATTTTCAACATTCACACTCAGGTTATTCAGTGCATTTAAAGCCTTCTCTTTAATACTGTGGTTGGGATTATTGATTTTGCTTCCAATGATTGGAATACCACCCAATTCACGAATAATGACCTAAGAGGGAAAAAAACGAGGACCATCACTTCAATATGCACCCCCTTCATCAAACTTTTTGCATCTACAAATACAAATAAAAATTAATGACTCTTTGGGAATACCTTTCCTATGCACAATCTGTATTTCTTATTTTACTTATTTAGTTATTGTTGAGAGAGAGTGAGACAGACAGAGGGTCCAAAGCAGGCTCTGTGCTGAGAGCGGAGAGCCCAGTGCAGGGCTCAAACCCACGAACCGCGAGACCACAACCTGAGCTGAAGTCGGAATCTTAACTGACTGAACCACCCAGGTACCCTTGTAATTCTTATTTAAAAAAATTTTTTTTTCAACGTTTATTTATTTTTGGGACAGAGAGAGACAGAGCATGAACAGGGGAGGGGCAGAGAGAGAGGGAGACACAGAATCGGAAACAGGCTCCAGGCTCTGAGCCATCAGCCCAGAGCCCAACGCGGGGCTCGAACTCACGGACCGCGAGATCGTGACCTGGCTGAAGTCGGACGCTTAACCGACTGCGCCACCCAGGCGCCCCTGTAATTCTTATTTAAAAAAAAATTATTAAATTTTATTAAAACTAAATTTCCATAATTTTATAGCTAAGAAAATAGATTGGAAATAAATTACGATACATAGTTATTTAAAAACTATAGCTTGGAGATATACAATGATTTGCAGAGCTACTTAAATGATCTCAAAGCAATTTACAAATGATTTTCCTCTGAAATAAGTTCTGGGACTTTCCTATTATAGGCAAATTTGGAAAAGTGTTATGCTTTGCTAAACTGTATTCTTTGGAACACAAATCCCTCAAGATATTAATAGATGTTCCATTAAGAAAAAAAAAAGGTTTCATGGTTAAGTTTGAGAAACTCTGTGTATATTAAGTGCAAACATTTCTTTATTGTGAAGCATTCATATATTCATCATGTGCACCGGGAATCTCCAAGAGGGGACCATTCAATATAGCATTTCCATGAACTGTACACAAAATAGAGGGAAGAGTGGGGTCAGAGGAAACACCTATCAACACCTGGAAGACTTGGGAGTTCCACGCAATTTGGGAAATGATACCCAAATTTCTGAAGAAATAATAATCTGGGGGATTTCTCACCATCAGTTGCAACACTATGCTACTACTATGCACCTCTGTCCTCAACATTACAAGATGCATTAACTGCGTCTATTCTTACAAGAAAAGTAAGCTGAACATTACTCCTGTTGGGCCAAAACATGCCCTTCTAGGAGAAAAAGAACAAAAGAGTATCTTGCCATCATCCATTTTTTACCAAAAGCCCCAAGCCCTACTCTACTGTCCAGAGTGGGCTCAGCACTGGGAGAAAAAGAAACCCCCTGTGCAATCCAGGTTCTTCCCAAAGAACTGCGATTACTAGAAAACAGATTTTTGTTTGTTTTAACTATCCTACTAAAGTAGATGAAGGCACTGTAATTTACGACGAGGGGCACCAACTTCCATTAGCCAAGAAAACACTTGTTCAAGCAGTGGCTACAGACACACTCTTCAAGCTACAGTTTGTTTCAGAGAGATATGAAACAATGGCATCAGAAACAGCACTATATAGGTATGCTAACAGTCACCATCTGTTGTTTTTGTTTGTGTGACGCTTCCCCCTGCCTGGGGGGCAGACAGAGCACCTCTTTTCTCCCATTTAGTCTCTGGTGGGACGGCTGGGCGAATGTGCTCACACCACCACATCCATCCCCTGCTGTCTGGCCGTGAGATGCTCACGTGAGTCAAGCCTTGCTACCCGTGGCCTGGGGAACCTTATTAGCACAGCACCTGACCCTGGCTGAGCAATTCCACCTTTCAGGGATGGAGGCTTGGATGGCCAGTGGCTTTCTTTCCATCCTGTGAAGAAAACTTTCTTGTGGCCAAAGAGATAAAAAACCAATATACAAAAAGAAGCAGGGATAAGCACAGCCAAAAGATGGAGGGAGGGAGAGCTCTGATAATGCATTCCGGAACCTTAAACGTTTCCACTTGTGCCTGAAGCCAGTGCTATTCTTGGATGTCCAAGTTAACTGAGCTCAGTATTTTCCTTTTTGGTTTAAAATAATTTAAGCTGGGGGCGCCTGGGTGGCTCAGTCATTTGAACATCCCACTTTGGCTCAGGTCATGATCTCACAGTTCGTGGGTTCGAGCCCCGTGTCAGGCTCTGTGCTAACAACTCAGCCTGGAACCTGCTTCGGATTCTGTGTCTCTCTCTCTCTCTGTCCCTCCCCCACTCATGCTGTCTCAGTCTCTCTCTCTCTAAAAAATAAATAAATATTAAAAAAATTTTTTTGAGGGGCGCCTGGGTGGCGCAGTCGGTTAAGCGTCCGACTTCAGCCAGGTCACGATCTCGCGGTCCGTGAGTTCGAGCCCCGCGTTGGGCTCTGGGCTGATGGCTCAGAGCCTGGAGCCTGTTTCCGATTCTGTGTCTCCCTCTCTCTCTGCCCCTCGCCCCTTCATGCTCTGTCTCCCTCTGTCCCAAAAATAAATAAACGTTGAAAAAAAATAAAAAAATAAAAAAAAATTTTTTTTGAATAATTTAAGCTGGGTTCTGTCACTTGCAACTGAAAGAATGGTAATCAACAAATATTTTTTATATCTCCCTATAAATCTCAAAAGTTTTACAGTAAACCTTATCATGCTGGAAAAAACTTGACTGAAATAGAGTGTAAATTCAACATAGTTTTCATGACAAAGTTAATGAAAGGCATTAGTTAAAAACCATTCCAATTTTTTTTTTTTTTTTTACTTTTTCTCCATGGGAGTAATAGAGAGAAGGTAACATTCAAATTGAGCTAGAGAGACTTAGTGTTACCAAGTCGCTATTGGTAGAAGGTAACATTGGTTAGTGGTTGTTAGCAATCAAGGGCCCACCTGCATCAGAACCACCCCCACGAGACTTACATATAATAGAAGGCATGTACTTCAATGTTAGGTGCTTTCGCTTTTCTTTTCTTTTTTTTTTTCAACATTTATTTATTTTTGGGACAGAGAGAGACAGAGCATGAACAGGGGAGGGGCAGAGAGAGAGGGAGACACAGAACTGGAAACAGGCTCCAGGCTCTGAGCCATCAGCCCAGAGCCCAACGCGGGGCTCGAACTCACAGACCGCGAGATCGTGACCTGGCTGAAGTCGGACGCTTAACCGACTGCGCCACCCAGGCGCCCCGAGATGCTTTCACTTTTCAACTACAATACTAAATGTGGTGTAGATAACATTTATCTACTAACCAACGTGATGCCTGTGATGAACTTCAAGGGGACCTCAAATCCCAGTAACACTATGTCACTATTAGGATGTGCTTTTCAGGAGCAAACATTATGCTGTAGGGATACATCCCCACACTGTGTATATGAGGAAAGTGAGACTCTGGGATTAAGTACCTTATCAGGGTCACAATTACTGCTAGGGTATAAGAATGGGAGGCACCCATTCTGAGACTAGATACTTACTTGGTTAGCTGAAAAGGCTGCATTGTTACCCAGAGTGACCAAAGCTCTTTCGATAATTATAGGATCATCAGTGGACTCAAGCAGGTAGAGGAGTTTCTGAAGCTGGTCAACATTTAGTATATCATCGTATGAACCATCGGTTAAATCTTCTGCAGAAGAACAAAGTTATTTAAAACTCTTTAAAATCAAGAGGAGATTAAAGGATTTTTATTTTTATTATTTTGAGAAAGAAGAAAGTGAGGGGAGGGACAGAGGGAGAGAATCTTAAGCAGGCTCCACGCCCAGTGTGGAGCCTGACATGGGGCTCAATCCCACAACCCTGGGATCATGATCCGAGATAAAATCAAGAGTCAGATGCCTAACCGACTGAAACCCCCCGACCAAGTGCCCCTAGATAATATTTTTAAACAATATTGAATGCATACTCTGATGCCAGGCACAGTTTTAAGCATGTCATCTACTTTATCTCATTTAATGTTCCAGTAACCTTTGGAAGAAGATACCATTATAATTCTCAATTTACAGATGGTAAACTGAGGCTTACAGACATTAAGAAATTAGCCAATGGTCACTTGGTATTTCTTTCTTAGTAAGGCACTGCATGCTGAAACATTTTCTACTTCTTTTAAAAATCAGGTACACCTGTCCAATGGAACACTTGCCTCGAGGCATAGGTTATTGAAGGAAAAGGGTTTGCATTAAGCAGATGTTTTCTGATCACAATTTTAAGAATACCTCAGGCTGGAGACAAAGTTATGGGAGTAAGCCAATCATGCTGCTAGTGTGGCATTTTTGTTTGGTTGGGATTCTAGATGCTAGAATAACAGTGTTGCTGGGGGCAAGGACAAAAGCAAAGCTCTTGTTTTGAGTAGAGCTAGAACAGCTGAATACTGGATCTGGTCAGTGACTTAGAATTTATAGCTCTATCTTAAAAAAAAAAAAAACCCACAACTATATTTACAGAAATTACCACAGGAAGAATAGAAACCATTTTATAACACCATCATTGTGTGTTCGTTCCTGAAAAATGAACCTATGATTACAGGTTAGACAGTAGACATGTCCACAATTCACTGCCAGGGGAGGGGCAGCCTACAATAGTTGCTCTATGATGTCATATCTGTGCCTTTAAAAAAATATATTTATTTTGAAAGAGAAAGAGAGGGAGACAGAGGATCCAAAGCAGCCTCTATGCTGACAGGACAGAGCCCGATGCGGGGCTTGAACTCATGAATTATGAGATCATGACCGGAGCAGAAGTTGGAAGCTTAACTGAGCCACCCAGAAGCCCCTGTGCCTTTTCGTTTTTAAAATATATACCAAATTATTAAAGGTGGTTATCTTTGGGTGTTGGATTTTGAATGACTTGTTTTCTATCCTGTGCTTAGGAATACTTTTTTTTTCTTTTTCGCAATATATATGTATCACTCCTGTAATGAAAATTAAGTACAGTAAAACCTTGGATTGCAAGTAACTTGTTCTGAGAGTGTTCTGCAGGACGAGCAAACATTTCTAATACATTTTAACTTGATAAAAGAGCAATGTCTTGCAATGCAAGCAGTATGTGATGACGGATGTCACATGATCACAACTGAGCCAATGGTGTTCTCCCTCTCTCACTGCAGGATTGTGGGTGATCATCTCCCATGTTCAGATGCTCAGCCTCAGGCTGCGGTGTTTGGCAGAAATCAGTGAATTTTCAGAACACTGGAAGGTGCTCACAACTGGCACTAGTGTATTTTTTGTCGCTTCAAAGCGCCTGTGGACAGTCCTTCACTTTTCCGTATTAAGAGTAAGCTTAGGAATGCTTGCTTCATTCTAGGTCAGGCTGCCTGCAGATATAGACCCTGTCCTCTGCTGCCTCACATTGCCGGTTACATTAAATACAGTATATGACCAGAGTTTATTAATACTGTACTATAGTCAACATCCATGCGAGCGTATACAATGGCCCCATGCAGAAAAAGGTCGGAAAAAAGGTGGTAAGGAGATGATTACTTTTGAAGAAGGAAATCTCACACTGAGAAGTATGAATGAAGTGTGCAAGTGGCCAAAATTCAAGAAGTCAAAATTCAAGAGGTGGCCGAGATTTTATAAGAAGTCGATGTCTGCATCTCGTCTGCAGAGGAGGAGGAGGAGAAAGAGGCAGAGGAATCCCTCACTTCAAATGAAATTAGGGAAATATGTCAAATGTGGGAAACTGCAAAATTTTGTAGAAAATCACCACCCAAATAAGGCTGTAGCAGTGTGAGCAATGAATCTGTTTAACGACAATGCAATGTCACATTTCCGCGAAATCCTCAAAAGGAGGCAAAAGCAAGTGTCATTGGCTAGGTTCCTTGTTAAAGTTGCATGAAAAAAAGATTCTACAGAGCCAGTAGACAGCAGTGACTCCGTTAGTGATCGTGAAAGTCATTCTCCACAGTCATCCTCCTCTCATCTCCCTCACACCAGGTTGTCAAAGGTAAGTGCAGGTTAATTAATTTATTTTTCTTTATATTTTGTATTTTATTATTTTGCATTATATTACAGTATTGTAATCATTTTTATGATTACATTTTTATTTTTTGATTATATTTTTATGATAAATAAAAATATTTATATGAATATTTTTTGGTTGTGGAATGAATTATCTGAGTTTCCATTATTCCTTACGGGCAAATTCGCTTTGATATACAAATGCTTTGGATAAAAGCATGTTTCCAGAACGAATTATGCTCTCAAACCAAGGTTTTATATACTGTATAATGTCACATATATAGAATCTAAAAACAAACAAAAAATGAGTTAATCAATAGAGATTGGGGTTGCTGGGGGCAGGCGAAGGGGGAGTGTAAAATGGATGAAGGTGGTCAGAGTACAAACTGAGTTTAAGATAAATCAGTCTTGGGCATGTAATGTACAGCTTGGTGACTACAGTTAGCAATACTGTATCGTATACTTGAAAGTTGCTAAGAGAGTACATCTTAAAAGTTCTCATCTCAACAAAAAAATCTGTAACTTTTTGAGGTGAGAGATGTTAACTAAACTTACTGTGATTGTTCGGCAATATGTACAAATACATAAATCAAATACATCAAATTGAATCAAATACATACATATCAAATCATTATACTGTATACCTATCACTAGTACAAAGTTACATGTGAATTATATCTCAATTAAAACAAAAAAGATCATCTTCTGAAATCTAAGGTTGATGCTAAAAAAATGGGTACTTCTCAAGTCTTCTTCAAAAATAAAGGTGAGTAGCTTCAGGAAGAAGGGGCCATGAGCAACTTATTTTGTAAATTGCCTGACCTAAGGTAATGGTGACTTTGGAAACTGGTAAAATTAAGTTTAAAAGTAACACTATCTGCGTTTACCAGGTTAAGAAGGTATCTGAAGTCCAGGCCACCAGACCAATTACCTATATGGAAATCTCTCAAGGACAACAAATTAGGCTGTAAGTAAAGGTAAATAAAGATCTTTTAAAAAAAATTGTTTTCCTTTGTGCCAAAAGTTAATACACTTTCCCTCTACTCTGTTTTCTTAAGAGTGTTTCCTTGAGCAAAGTGGTAAAGCTGACCCTGGAACAAGGCAGGCGCTAGGAATGCCAATGCCTGAGAAGTTGAAAATCCATGTATAACTTTGGACTCCCCAAAACCTAACTACTAACAACCTGCCATTAACTGGAAGCCTTACCAAAAAAAGTAATTTAACATATATTCTGTATGCTCTAGGTCTTATATGCTGTATTCTCATAATAAAATAAAGAAAATCATAAGAAAAATACATTTTCAGAATTGTACATATATTTACTGAAGAAAATCTGCTTGTAAGTAAACCTGCACAGTTCAAACCCTGGTTGTTCAAGAGTCAGCTATAACTGTAAATCCTGTCTCTTTGACATAAATGAACATCTTTTTAAAGGCTAAGTAACCCTCTTGTCAGTTTACAATGCAACAAAGTGTTTCTTAGAGGCTTTGGGACTATCTGTTTGAAATGTAAGCATCAAGAAAGATGAAGCCCTGATCTCTGAGTTTAGCCTTGGCACCTGGCTCCCTGTTGTCACCTCCTGTTTATCCTAAAGATACTGAGAAGTCTTATTTTTCCTCTGGATAAAGGCAATTAGCTAACACAAATAGCCACCCCAATTACTAGTGAATATACGATGAACTATGTGTAGCAAATGGTGTTGTCAAGTCCGCTTAAGGACATGTTAATCTTGCGAACAGGCAGGTAATATGAAATAGATTTTTATCTGCCTGGGTACATAAAAGAGTGAGCACTCTTTTTCAATCCCAATTAGCAGATGGCCTGTGACGACTCGGCAATCTAGTTTAATGCTTATTCATCAATAAAACTCTTTAGTTCTTTTGTCTATTTGTAGAGAGGAACTTCTTAGTTGGTAGTTTTACTTTTAATTATTTCTGTAACAGCGTCCATGACCTGAAATATTCCTCCAGAACATTCAGCAAATCCTCAGAATCCCGAATGCACCAATCAACTTTTGGATGGCAATTTAACCACACACTTGCTCACCAGGAGGGTACCCTCCCATGCGGACAACTGTTTCAACTGATACATACACCTGTGTCTGTACTTCCAGGATCTCTCTGCAACTTTGTGTATGAACCAGTGACATCAAGGTACCTCCCCTCTGAGGCTGGGCCGAATGCAGGCAGAGATAATCCTCAAGGGTTCCTTCTTCCAGGGCAAGTCCAAGCACAATTTCATCATCTACCGCTCCAAGGCCAGCAAAACCCGGGCCACAGTAGGGACAATCCCTTTGGTAACACAGAGTCCGGGAGCAAGCTTTAACGTGAGGAATAATCGACATGCTTTTGAGAAACCTAATCAACCCTCCGCTGTGACGCCGCACTCAGGCAGGAAAATCGGGGCAACTTTTCATCCCAAGATTTTGAACCAAATGGAAGCAAGGGGCGGCTCAGAACCCTACCCGCACCCAGTCAAGCGGACGATCCGCCCTCTGCACCTGTGGTTCTCGACCTTGTACTTCTCACGAATCTCCCTCCCGCTCTCCCTCCTCCAGCTCGGCTCCTTTCTCTGCAAGCGCGGGAGAGCCACGAGCCCCAGCAGTCTTCAACCCGCACCCTCGGGATAACACCGAGGCCCCGCCGGCCGTCCCCGGCCACCTGCTGGGCACCCCTGCGGCCTCACCTGCGGAGCGCGAGGGGCGCAGCCTAAGCCTGCGGTCGCCTTGCCGCTGGCCCCGCGTGAGCTTGTAAATGCAGTAGCAGGCGCCGGCCCCGAGGACCAGGCCCGCCGCCACCCAGCCCACGTGCCGGGAGCGGCCCATGCTACAGCTGGGGCTGAGGCGCAGCGCTGGGCCTGGCGCGGGAGGCTCCGAAGCAAGCGGGCCCCGCCGCCACCCCCAGCGCTAGCCGAAGGGCGAGAAAGGAAATGGGGCTTGAGCTCCGCCTCCCGGAAACGGCCCTGCTAAAATAGTAAAACCGCCCACTCCGGCCCCCAAGCGTCCAGGCCGCTCGGCAGAGGCGGGGCGGGGGGCAGGGCTATGTGAAGGGCCGCAAAGACTGCGCGTCCCCCAGGGGGCGCACTGGGGTCCGCCGTTGTCCGGAGGTGGGCTTGCCCTCGCTTCGGCCCGGGCCCCGCCCCACCAGGGCCGAAGCCCGCCTCCCTCCCGGCTGCCCCGGGCGGTAGAGGCGTGGAACTTCGGGTGCAGCCCCGGCCCCTCCCCCCCACCTCTCCCGCGGTTGCCGGGGCAACGCCGGGACGCGCTAGCCCTAAGCACGGGCTCCGCGCCTGGTACGCGGGGCGCGGAAAGCAGGCGGGGAGTTTCAGTGGGGCCTGTGGTCATGGCCTCGCTACGCACTGCCAACTCCCGGCTGAGGAACTACTTCAAAGAGAACTACATTCCTCAGGTCTGCGAGGTACTGGAGCCACGTGGCGGCGGAGTTACCAGAGGGGAGAAACCGAAGATATCCGGAAGGAGCTGGGGTTTAGCCGCAGAGGGAGCGGAGGGATTCTGGGGCGGAATGGGCCAGGATGAGGTTAGCCTTGAGCAGGCTGGCAATCTGGGCTGAAGATACAGATCAGAAAGGAGAGGACAGAGGGAGGTGATGGTGGCTGAAAGGGGGGAATGGGTGACCTAACTCGGGGAGAAAGAGTACAGGGTCCCGGGGCAGAAACCCCAAACTCCAAACTTTAAGGTTTGGGCGCATGGGGCGCGAGAGGGGCCTGAGGACAAGAGAAGTGCGAAAGCAGTGCCCTAGAAACAGAGGAGGAACATCCGAAGAGTGTGGCTTTATGAAGAGAGAGGGCAATAGTGCCACCTAAGGTGAGGTATAGTGGATTTGGCACACGGTGAGCCTGGGGTTTCAATGGAGTGGTGAAGGCAGAAGATAGAGACCTCTCGATGGAAGGTAGCCGGTCCTTTGTGAGGGGAAAGACCCCACCACTGGGATTGCCTTAAACAGCAAGACTGTTCCCTACCCCCACCATTATAACAGGAAGGGAGGAAGGAGGACAGGAGAGGGGTGGATAGGTTTTGTAGTTTTGGGGGTAGGAAGCCAAGAAAGTTCTCTGGTGACTTCCATTTTCTCTACAAATATTTGGGAAGATATTTGCTAAGAATTATATGTTTGGGTGGAGTTGGAGGCTGCAGAAGGGGTTTTGAGCAGAAATAAAGTATGTGGAGAATGATGGGGAGAGAGGTCTAGCTAGGGAAGGAAAGAACCAGGCAGTATTGAGAGCCCTGCTTGGGATAATAACTCCTATACAGTTGGGAGTGCAATTTGGTACAGCCTTTTTGGATGGTAATTTAGACATATTGTTGATCAAACATTTCATTTCTAGGGATCCACTCTAGAGGTATACTTTCACATGTACCCAGAAAGCTGTCCAAGTATATTCATTATAGTGAAAATCATAAAGAACTTATATATGAATGAGAGAATGGGCTAGTATATAAAGTATATGTGTACCTTTTCAAAAGAAAAGCCCTCCAAGACACATTTAAAAAGAAGGGGAAAAAAATGCAAGTTGTCCCAGAGGTGTCTACAATTGACGCTACTCATATATTTATGTGTCCATATCTATCTACAGTTAAAACAATGACACATGCATAGAACATATTGCAACACTATTGACAGCAAATGTTTGTTTTAGGAGAGAACCCTAATTTTTTGTTCCATATAGATCTGTATTGTTTTAGTTTTTTTCTGATGAGTTTGATTCATGTTTTACTTCAATTATATTTAAAAATATCTGGAGAGCATGGTACTCATCTTCCCCATTGTGTGATTTTTCTTAAGCAGCAGTCAGTAAACCACATGTAGATACAGAAATAAGAGTTGGTTTCAACCAGGATAGGTGTTTGCCAGGCATATAGTATTGAAGGGCAGCGGCAAAGGAACTAAGCTTTTCAGAGCGCCTGATGGGCCCAGGAACTGGGTGGGAAATGAGAGTAGGATGTGAGATTGATCTATGGGCAGAAAGTGAAGGTTCCTAAGGAGTGAAGAGGTGTAAAGGGAGTAATTGAGTGAGGGAACTGGAAAAGTAGGAGGTAGGGATCAGGAAGTGGAATGTTTGTATTTAAGATTTAGGGCAGAGTGATGACTCAGTCCAGGTTGGCTGTGGAGTAGGTAGCAGAAGTGGACTTGAGTTGAGGGTCAGGGCACATCAGGGAAGTGATAGCCTCTCCTCATCTTGCTCTCCACTTTCCATAACACTCAGAAGCTGCCAGAGTAATCCCTGGCTCCTCCTTTGGGTGAAAGCATCCTTTGCTCACCAGCCTACCAGGTTGCTTTGCTCCCAGAAGAAAGAGGCCCTCAGAAGTGCCCTTGGCCTAAGGTGACATTCTCATGACTCTCAGGAGTCCTTCACTCACTTCTGCTACCATGTTACCAATAGGCGCAAGAGATCAGTTTTCTGGGGGCTCACACTCCCACCTTAACCTGGTTAACCCACTAACCCCAGGAGACTATCAGGATAAATCTCATTGTGCCTTATATTCCTGCACAGCTATTCATCTAATCCAATTTGCCAGGACTGGCTATTTTCCAAAACCCATCTTCTACAAGCTTTGGAATGTGTGTGTGTGTGTGTGTGTGTATACACACACACACACACACACACACACACACACACACACACATATTATCATGGATTCTCTGTGTATTTAACCTCTTCTGAACTTCACCTACCTATCCTAAATAAAACCTGGATATCATTTCCCTGAAAACCCTCGCATGGAGGCTGATTTAAAACAAACAAAACAAACAAAACAAAACAAAACAACACCCCTGCTTCACTTACTGGGCTACTGATTCTAATTGATGATGGTTTTCATCAGTTTTAGAAAATTGTGGATCATTTCAAACAATGCTTTTACCCAATTCTCTCTACTCCTTCTGGGACTCCAATCATAAATATGTTAGGTTTGGTTTTTTTGTTCTGTTTTGTTTTTTCCCTATTTTTCTCTTTGTACTTGTTTGGATATTTTTCACTGATTGTCTTTAAGTTTATTGATTCCATTTTATGCTGTGTCCAGTCTACTGTTAAATATATCAAATGAGTTTTTAATTTCAAACAGTGTGTTTTCCAGTTTTAGAATGTCAGTCTTTTTTTATACATTCCAATCAAAATTCTGCATCTTTTCATCCATTTTGTCAACCATTTCCTGCTTTCATTAATATGTTGTTATTTTATTTTATTTTATTTTATTTTATTATTTTATTTTTTTTATTTATTTTTGAGACAGAGAGAGACAGAGCATGAACGGGGGAGGGGCAGAGAGAGAGGGAGACACAGAATCGGAAACAGGCTCCAGGCTCTGAGCCATCAGCCCAGAGCCCGACGCGGGGCTCGAACTCCCGGACCGTGAGATCGTGACCTGGCTGAGGTCGGACGCTTAACCGACTGTGCCACCCAGGCGCCCCGATATGTTGTTATTTTAAAATCATTGTTAACATGAACAACTTAGAAGTCTCACGGAATGGGGTGATTGTTGAAACTGGGTTATGGGTACACAGGGGTTCATTATACTCTTGTTTACTTTCTCTGTGTTTGAAGTTTTCTATAATAAGAAGTTACAAGAGAGTAATGGCTGGGTGTTTTTTTCTCATAATGTATGTAGCTAGGGATGGATGGAATAATAGGCTTCATTTGGCTGTATAGTCATTTTCTATTTGCTGTATCAATTATCCATTGCTATGTAATACAACTATAAAACTTAGTGACTTAAAACAGCAGGAATCATTTTGTTTGCTCAAAAATCTGAATTCTGATAAGGTTTTTCAGTTTTTCTCTGCTCCATGTGGTACCATCTGGGGTGATGGACAGGGGTTAAAGGTCCACTTTTATTATTTAATTTAATTTAATTTAATTTAATTTAATTTAATTTAATATAATTAAGTGTGTGTGTGTGTGTGTGTGTGTGTGTGTGTGTGTGTGTGTGTGTTTGCCACTGTGCAGACTGTCCCCAGCAAGCCCATAGGCATAGAGACTTTCTCTGAGTACCTGCCTCCAAGCCATTATTGCTGTGGGACATGAGACAGTGATGGCCCTTGAAGTTATCAAGGCAGTAGATAAGAAGTCATCCCCTGCCAGCAAGGTCCCAAGTCAACGGTATTGAAGCATGTCCTCTAAGATCCACTTTTAAGATGGTTTGCTCACATGCCTGGCCAGCTGGTGCTGGGTGTTGGCTGGGAGTTCAGCTACGTCTGTGAGCCGGGAGGCTTGGTTTCTCCATATGGGCCTCTTCATGAGCTGCTTGGACGTCCGCACAGTATGGTGGCTCAGTTCTAAGAGCAAATGTTTCTAAAGAGAACCAGGTATGTTCAATTCAAGTTAGTTAGGTAACTTATTTTTTTTGAGCAACAGATTAGGCTCTTGACACCAGCCAGCCTTTTTTTCTTAGGGGATGGTAAGTGTGGTAAGCTATTACACTGATGGAATTAGACCATTCCATCAGCAAATATTTGCTGGGCATCTACCATGTGTTAGTAGAAAATACCTCAATGGCTTTAGCCACTTGCAGCCGTGAATTTGAAGCTGTTTCTAGCCCAAACTTTTCTCCTGTATTCTCTGTGCATTTGTCTATTTGGGTGTCCTATAAATACATACATTAAGGAAGTAAAAATAAATAGGTGAAGTTAATTTAAAAAATTGTTAATGCTTATTTATTTTTGAGAGAGATTGTGAGTGGAAGAGGTGCAGAGAGAGCTGGGACAGAGGATCTGAAGCGGAGCCTGATGCAGGGCTCGACCCACAAACTGTGGGATCCTGACCTGCGCTGAAGTCAGACACTCATCTGACTGAGCTAGCCCTGGTGAAGTTAATTTTAATATATTTTAGAAAAAACAATCTGTCCGGAATATCATCATTTCAACATGGACTCAATGTGAAATCACATTATGTCTTAGAATTGGATGTGTATTTTACACTTAC